GCTGGGGGGACCACAGGGCAGAGGGACAACAGCAAGCATCATGGAGGGTTAATAGAGGGAAATTCTTAATAATTCTATCCTGGGGGGTTCCAGCCTCACGCCGTGCGATGAAAAGAGGAAGAAAAAGCATTCGAATGTCTTAGGGCTCAGAAATGTCATTTACAGTAAATCCCATGTACTGACTCAACATGTTCCGTGGGCGGGATCACATCTTAAAGGTGGACAAGAAGAACATTTATTTTGCAGATATTTCTTTATACAAACTGGGTGAGTAGGAAGGTGGCTACCTACAGATGGACTAGATTTGATAGCTGGTAAGATTGAAAAAGAAATGAAATCACAAAGGAGGCTTGTATTAGGCTGTTTATGTTGCTTATAACAAAATACCTGAGACGGGGTGGTTTATAAAGAAAATGAAATTTATTGCTTAAAGTTTCTGAGGCTGGGAAGTCCAAAGACCATCTGGTGGTGGTGACAGTGACCCAGGGTCTCATTGCAGGATGGTGGAAGCAGAGAGAGAGAAAAACAGACTCTCTTCTCCTTTTAAAGCCCTCAGAACCACGCCCCTGACCACCATTTTTAACCCATTCACTGCTGCACGGTCCTACAATCCAATCACCTCTTCAAGGTCCCACCTTTCAATGACCATAATAGGATTTCCCACCCTCTTAACAGTCACAGTGGGGCCCAGTTTCTAATATGTAAAATTCAATTTGAGCTTCAGAGAGTTTTGGGGTGACATAATTCAATCCAATTCATTCCACCCTGGCCCCCCCAAATCATGTCTTTTCACATGCATATACATTCATTTCACCCCCAAAGTCTTGTTTCAGCTCAAAAGTCCAAAATTCAAAGTCCCATCTGTGAAATCAGTATAGATTATCTATTTCCAAGATGCCTTGGTGGGACAAGCATAGGGTACATGTTCCCATTCCAAAAGGGAGAAATAGGCTAAAAGAAAGGTGTAACAGGCCCCAAACAAGTCTGAAACCCAGCAGGGCAGGCATTAAATCTCAAAGCTGGTGAATCTTGTAAC